AGCAATAGAAGAATGAGTTGCCAGGCAATTGTTGATCACCAAGATAAGCAATACCAAAAATAGAAAATTAAAGAGATACTAGTCGAACCCCCCACACCTGAATGGCACATTGCCCTCAATGTAACAAATAAACAGCAAAAACAAGAAGAAGGGCAACGGAACTTCCCTGAAGTCAGGGTCACAGCGGTGAGTGAGGCAGAAATGGTGCTTGATGAAGCGGCAGCGAGCGTAAGAGGCGGTGACGGCACTTGGCGACGGTGCTTGGCAAACGTGCACGAGAGAGGTGGCGAAGGGAAGAGGCAGTGGCAATGGAAGGTTTCGGCCAAAATAGAAAAGGGAGAAGGAGAAACAGGGGAAAAGAGGAAGAAAAGGGAAAGAAGGAAAGAAAGAAAAGAAAGAAAAGAAGAAAGAAACAAAAAAAAAATATATAGTTTTTTGGGATTTTTTTTTTTTGAAGTCCAAATTTGAAATTTGGTATTTGAAAATCGAAATTCTGAGTTGAATGGCAAATATTTTTAATTTTCAATTTTCTAATTTTTTTTAAAAAAATTTTTTAAGGATCTTGGGTCGACAAATATGGCGTGGGCACGCCAAGAATATAAAACGTCCACTGGCCTTGAGAGTCACTTTTTACAACTTAACGCGTGCCCTCCTCGCGTGAGCACGCTAGGATTCCACTTCCTGCCGATGTCGCGAGATGTTGAGATTTTACCAATATGACGTGAGCATGCCAAGATTGGTAAACATCCACTGACCATGAGGTTAGGGTTTACTCGATTAACACGTGCCCTCCTCGCGTGGGTACGCCAAGATTACCTGTTCTGATCACAGTGGAGGAAAATATTAAGAGCGACTAGTACCCCAGTGAGAAACTTACAAATTGAAAGAATTGAACAGCAGAAAACAACAAAAAAATATTTGGGTTGCCTCCCAAAAAGCGTCTCTTTTTAATGTCTTTGGTTAGACATTGAACACCACTCTTTAATCTGGATGTAATTCAATTTTTCTTGTAATCGGTAACCCTCCTCCGAGATCTAAATAGCCATTGAGTGCAATTTTCTTTCTAAATTTTCTACTCATTTTCACCTCATAAATTGTTTTCATCCCCTGATACTTGTTCGCAGGAACTTTGAATTTACCCCTACAACCAAAACTCAGAAAATTCTTGCACAGAGGGATTAGTAGCATGAATAGTAAACACAGAATGAGAGTTAACAGGACATTTTATTATATTAAAAATATTAAAGTGGACTATTTCTCCGTCGAATTTCATTGTGAGAGTACCCTTACTAACATCAATCTTAGTTGGGGCAGTACTCAAGAATGGCTTTCCTAATATAATGGGTGATGGATTTGGGGCACTTTCATCATCCATGTAAAACACATAAAAATCAGCAGGAAAAATTAATCCATCTATTTGCACTAAAACATTCTTAACTACCTCATCCGGATAAGCAAATATACGATCAGTTAATTGAATTATTATCCCTGTTTCTTTTAAAGATCCTAAATTTAGGGAATCATAGATTGATTTAGGCATCACATTAATAGAATCCCCTAAATCTAGCATGGCATTTTCGATATTAGAATGTTCAATCTTACAGGGGATAGTAAACATACTTGGATCCCCACATTTAGGTGGTCGTTTTCTTTGTAGAATGCTGAAACGTTCTCACCTACCACAATATGCTCAACCCCCCTCAATTTCTTTTTGTTGACACACAAGTTTTTTAAGCATTTAGCGTATTTTGGCACTTGGTTAATTGCGTCCAATAAAGGGATATTGATTGCCATCTTTTGAAACACCTCTAGAATCTCCTTTTCCTTATCTTGCTTCTTCGATTTCTCCAACCTATTAGGAAAAGACGGTGAGTTAGTTTTAACTGTAATGAATGGATCCAGGAGTACCTTTGGATCCTTGTTGCTTCTGCCCTCCTCTTCAAGATCTTTCTCAATTCGTTCCTCGTCCTTGTCCTTAGCAATCATGAGCTCGAGTGCTTGGATTTCTTTTCCACTCCTCAAGGTCATTGCGTTCACATTCTTCAAGTTCAGTTCAGGTTGAGACAACAAATTTTCATAGACTTGGGATTCTAGGCGGTTGATTGTTATTGCCATCTGACTCATCTGACTCTGCATTACTTGCATCTGTCCCAATTGATTCCTCATACTTTGTAGGTCAAAATCCGTCTTTTGTTGATTAGCAATTAATTGTTTCATCATCTCTTCCATAGACGGGTTTGAGTTTGAAAGGGGTGGTGGCGGGCCAGGTTGCTACTGTTGTTGGTACCCTTGTTGTCTATTTGGTGCAAAATTCGACTGTCTATTTTCTCTATAGCTGAAGTTAGGATGATCTTTCCAGTCCGAATTGTACGTATTCGAGTATGGGTCGTATGGCTGTCTTGACGCGGGCGCGTGACCAACCATGTTCACTTGCTCTGCACTTTCTTCCTGAACCAGTGAACGCATCTTTGTAGAATGACCCAAGGCAATACATACCCCATATACTTTAGCTTGTGAGGCACTTCCCACAGCTAGTTGTCGCATGAAAGACGTCAATTCGGAGAGTTGTTGTTGGATAGAGGATGTTTCTACCTCATTTACCTTACGCGTCGGGATGTTCTCTCTTGACCCAAACTGTTGTGAATTCTCAGCCATCTCTTCAATCAACTCCCATGCTTTTCGAGGAGTCTTGTTCACCAACGCCCCTCCACTTGCAGCATCGATTATGCTTCTGTCCCTAAAAAGTAGCCCTTCATAGAAATATTGGATGAGCAGTTGTTCACTTATCTGATACTGAGGGTATTTTATGCACAACTTTTTGAATCTTTCCCAGTACTTATAGAGGGACTCGCCTAGGTGTTGTTTAATATCGCATATCTCTTTCCTTAAGTTGGCCGCTCGAGATGCCGAAAAATATTTGTCTAAGAATTTTTTTTTCAACTGATCCGACGTGGTGGTATTACCTGGTGGTAGGTAGTATAGTCAGTCTTTTGCGGAGTCCTTCAAAGAGAAGGGGAAGACCCTCATTTTTATCTGTTCTTCTGTGATTCTCGAGGGTTTCATACCGTTGCAAATAACGTCGAACTCTTGCAAGTGCTTATAGGGCTCCTCGTCTGGTAGACCATGGAAAGATGGCAAGAGGTGAATTAGACCAAATTTTAGTTCAAAAGGAATATTATCATTCAAACTTGGGAAAGTAATGCATAAGGGTTGCTGATTTAAATTAGGACCAGCCAACTCCCTCAGTGTTCTTGCATTCGCCATGGTGACTTCCTCTTGATTTGAATCACTTGAGTTATCACCACACAAATCCGTCAACTCAACCTCTGGATCAAGTCCTTGAGGTGCAACACTGGACTGCTCCTCTCTGAACTGTCTGGTTTTTTTTCTCGTTCTACGCACGGTCTTCTCTACTTCAGGGTTGAAAAATAATTTGCCTGTACGAGAAAAACGAGGCATAAACTAGAAACATACCAGAAAATTAGAACAAAATTGAATTTAGAAAGAAACAAATAATTAACTCCAGTCCCCGACAACGGCACTAAAAATTGACAGGTGTCGAGTTTGTGCAATAATAAAAATAAAACCTAACTACGACTACAGTAGTCAATAATCAATCTTAGGTATTGGCGCAGGGACTCTAGGTGTGCAATAGGTTACTTGATTCATCCTGTTTTCGAAGAGTTTACTTAATCCGATATATCAGAATTAATTAGTTGACAAAATTTACTAACTAGTAGATAGTGGCAAACAAGGTAATCTTCTCAAGAACTGGGGATATTTGTCTCTTTGAGGTTCCAAATGGTAAAAAGGAGGTTTTATCGGAATAAAGTTAAAAATAATTAAGCAATTCAACTAAAATGAATATTTAACTAACATGAATGTAGACAGGAATTAAATCAAGAATAGATAAATTTTAGTCAAGAATACAACTACTCAGACATGGCCCATTTATCTGATCATTGATGTAAAGAAGGTTCACTTAATTTATTAATAGGCTAGTTATAGTCACCGACAAGCTCTAACGACCAATTTTTCCTTAATTTATTGATAACCAAGATACGACCATTGATTACCCCTAACTAGAAAATACTCTTAGGTATGACCATAGGAATTAATTCTCCAATTGCATTAAGAACTAGAAAAATCTAACCACAATCAATAACACGCTATGAGGATTATTTAAATCAGATTGCACGTTCCCCTAGTGTATAAAAATGCTAGTTGCCACTAATATTAATCGATTAAACAATTATGGATTTAATTGACTAATTTGGCAGGAGATTAATAAGTCACATTGAACATCGTGCCCTTGACATCCAATTAACAAAATAATCCCATGAAAATTCAAGTAGACAACGTGCAAATATTAACAAATTAAGGAACGCATGAAAACTAATTAGATCTCACAGATATTCGAGACTGTGCCGTCGAGTTGATCCTTGACTAGATGAAAAGCTTAGCTGCACCTCGTAAGAAAATTCTCACGCAATTCAATCGAATTCAAAAGCATCTTTTTCGAATAGTCAAAGAGCATAAAAATTATGCTCCAGTCGAGATTAATGCCAATTGAAAAAGGAACTAAGACTAGTCAATCTCAAGCTCTATTCCCTCTAAACAATAAAAAAGAGAATAAAAGTAAAAACTACCCACGATTGTTTCCTTGTGTTTCGGAATTCTAGTACTAGTAAACTACCTACTATTAGTAAAACTCTAGTCAGCCAAAAGAGAAGGAATCTGTTGTAGCCCAATGTGGAGCCCGACTTGTAGGTATTTTGGAAGCTTCCCACGTGTGGAGTATTTTTCTCAAGAAAGTCTCCTTTTAAGCACTTGTTTGATCCACTTTCTTTAATTAAGGTAAAATATCAAATATAAGTATATGTTAACAATTAAAACAATATTTGGCAAGAACAAAGAGGAAAATTAATAATAAAATTACTAACAATTAACACCCTATCAGAACCATATCTCCTCATGTCGGAAATCTAAGCTTCAATTCCATGGTGAGATTCTCAAGAATTCAGTGGCCTCTTCAGGTTGAAATTCTTAAACCTGTCAAGTAACGTACTCAGTGGAAAAATCCCAGCAAACCTGAGCTACTGCTCAGAGTTGGTAACTATTGACCTAACCAGTAACAAGCTAGAAGGGAAGATTCCAATTGATCAGCTAAGCAGCCTGAAGAAGCTTAAAGGAATAGGTTTTACCGAAAACAATTTGACGGGAGAGGTTCCCTCCTCCATTGGGAACTTATCATCACTGACTCAACTCACTTTTGACTTTAACAATATGGAGGGAAATTTGCCAATGGAAATGGGCTCTTAAAAAGGTTATCTATATTTTCAGCAACAAAAAATAAACAAGCAAGTATTATCCCTGTCTCTATCTTTAATAGTTCAGTCATTACTGCCATTTCAGTGGCCGGCAATTCCTTTCATGGCAGTCTCCCAACCAACATAGGTCTCACCCTACCAAATCTGAAACTATTAGCTATTGGGGAAAACAATTTCTCTGCAAACTTTCCCACTTCAGTCACCAATGCTTCTGGGCTTGAGATACTTGATCTTTCCCAGAATAAAGTTGCAGGCCAAATTCCTACTAATTTAGGAGATCTAACAAATCTTCAATTATTAAATCTTGGTGCTAATTTCTTCGGGAATAATTCTACCCAAGACTTGGACTTTATTGCATCATTGACCAACTGCAGTAATCTAAGAATTCTTTCCTTGAGTGGCAATAAATTTGGAGGTAATATACCTAGAGTCATGGCCAATCTCTCAAATCAACTCACAAAACTATTCCTGGGGGGAAATCAACTGTCAGGAACCATTCCAGAAGGGTTTGGAAATTTTGTCAACCTATATCTCCTTGGCCTTGAATTAAATTCTCTTTCAGGGGTCATTCCAAGAGATTTTGGCAAATTACAAAATTTGCAACATCTGCATTTTGACAATAATCAATTTTCAGGACAAATAGCCTCTACCGTATGTAATGCCATCACTCTATACTATCTGGACTTATCATTTAACCAGTTTGAAGGAGGCAATATACTTGACAATGTTTTTATGAACTGTCAAAATTTGCAATATCTGGATATATCTCATAACAACTTTACTGGAATTATATCACCACAATTTTTGCAGATGCACTCATCACTGATGTACATCAAAATAGGTGAAAATTCTTTTAGTGGGTCTCTACCTCCTGAAATTGGAAAGCTTGTACATTTGGTGGATTTCAATGTTTCGCACAACAAATTTGTTGGAGCTATACCCTCATCACTTGCTGATTGTTCAAATCTGGCGAATCTTTCCATGCAGGCTAATTTTTTCCAAGGAACAATTCCACCAAATTTGGCTTCTTTGAAGAGCATCCAGCAAATAGACCTTTCAAGTAATAATTTGACTGGATCGATGCCAAAAGAACTTGAGAAGCTTCAATATTTGAGGAACCTAAACCTTTCCTACAATGACATCGAGGGTGAGATACCAAACACAGGGATTTTCAGCAATGCAAATCAAATATCATTGATTGGCAACAACAAATTCTGTGGAGGCATTCTAGAATTGGAGTTCCCACCTTGCCCAATGATTAAGGGGAAAAACAGAGAAAAGCTGAAGGTTGTCATATTGCTGTCCATTGTTTTACCGGCAATGCTTCTGGTTCTTGGTACAGTGTTGTTATGTTTCTTGGCATATCGAAAAACAAAAAGGAGACTGGTGGCCAAATTCTCCAGCATGTCTACAAGAGTCGAAAAGCTCTTGCATATTTCTTACCATGAACTTCTTTGTGCAACTTCAGGATTTTTTCTAGAAAACTTAATTGGTTCAGGAAATTTTGGAGCTGTCTACAAAGGAAGGCTAGAAAACATAGCAACAAGTTTGTAGCAGTCAAAGTTCTTGATCTTCAAAAGAACGGAGCTTCTAAAAGTTTTAAGGCCGAGTGCAAAGCTTTGAGAAATATTCGCCATAGAAACCTCGTTTCTATCGTGAGTTATTGCTCCAGTATTGATTCCAAGGGTGATGAATTCAAAGCTCTGGTCTATGAGTTAATGGAAAATGGAAATCTGGACCTGTGGCTGCATCCAGAGACAACTGATAAACCAACAAGCTCAAGAAGCCTAAATCTTTCTCAGAAGCTGAATATTGCAATTGATGTGGCTTCAACATTGCAGTATCTTCACAACCACTGTGTGTTGCGGAAGCTCTACCAAATTAAGGTATAACGAGTAAATTATTGTACCTAAAATTGTAAAATGGTAATTCCCAGGAAATATTTGGTGAGGTACACTGGCCTGCTTAAATACCAATTTCCTAGATAGAATCACATATATATATATGCAATTAATTACACAATAACTCACTACAAATATACCTACAAATATAGCTATTAAATAGACAATAAAATAGAACACCAGAATTTAACGAGGTTCGACTAATTTGCCTACGTCCTCGGACACTACCGATAACTTAATATTTCACTAGAAGAAATATTACAAAGAGAGAGAAAGAAACAAGTTATAATGCTCTTGCTTGGTGTACTTCAATTGAGAAGAGAGATTGTTAATTTATAGCTAACAACTTCTCCTTAAGGCTAATCAACCGATGTGGGATTTGGGATTTGTGCACAATTGTCAATAATTGTAGCTTTGCACAATTGTCAACAATTGTAACTTTACACAATCCATAATTGTGGCTATTGAGACAATAAGTCAACAAATCTCCACCTTGGCGAAATCTCTACATCTTCAATGCTTCACTCTTCTCCCAACATTTGGTGGTGTCTTCAAATGCGCCGTCAAGCGCCAATCTTCAAGTTGTGCACAACATTTATCAAATTCAAACAATGTTGGAATTTGATAGTTGTTACAATCTTCGTAAACATATCAGCAGGATTCTCCTTGGTCTGAATCTTTTGAAGTAGTATCGTACTATCTTCCAAATTCTTCCTCACAAAATGATACCGTACATCGATATGTTTCATCCTTGCATGATAAACTTGGTTCTTTGCTAAATGAATAGCACTCTGACTATCGCAATGAACTTTGAAAGGCTTTTGTCCGATTCCCAATTCATCAAGCAACCCATGAAGCCAAATTACTTCCTTAACAGCCTTTGTAACTGCCATATACTCCATCTCTGTAGTAGACAAAGCAACTGTTGACTGCAAAGTAGACCTCTAACTGACTGGTGCCATAGCAAGTGTAAACATATATCCAGTCGTTGATCGACGTGTATCTTGATCACCTGCGTAGTCGGAATCACAATATCCAACTGCGCCTTGACCAATCTTCTTATCCTGCTTAAATACTAATCCAACATCTACGGTATTCAAAATGTACCGTAAAATCCATTTCACAGCCTGCCAATGCTCCTTGCCAGGATCATGCATGTACCTGCTCATAACTCCAACCGCTTATGAAATGTCAGGTCTTGTACACGTCATAGCATACATTAAGCTACCCACTGCATTTGCATATGGTACCTTTGTCATATATTCTCGTTCTGCATCATTCTTTGGAGATAACGATGCACTGAACTTGAAATGAGAAGCAAGTGGAGTACTAACAGGTTTGGTTTTTTCATTCATGCCAAACCTCTTTAATACTTTACTAAGATACTTTTTCTGAGTCACATAAAGCCTTCCCAATCTTCTATCTCTGCCTATCTCCATGCCGAGAATCTTCTTGGTTTCGCCGAAATCCTTCATTTCAAACTCTCGACTCAAATGAGATTTTAATTTTTCAATCTCACCTTGATCCTTGGAAGCTATCAATATATCATCAACATAAAGAAGAAGATATATGTAGTATCCATCTTGTAGCTTGTACAAATATACACAGTCATCATATTTGCTTCTTGTGTACCTCTGCCCCATCATAAACTTGTCAAATAGCTTGTACCACTGCCTTGGAGACTGTTTCAATCCATATAACGATTTGTCAAGCTTGCACACCATCTTTTCTTTACCAGCAACTTTGAATCCTTGTGGCTGAGTCATATAGATTTTCTCTTCCAAGTCATCATGTAAAAACGCAGTTTTTACATCTAATTGGACAAGTTCCAGATCCAATTGTGCCACCAAAACCAATAAAATTCTGATAGAGGAATGTTTCACGACTGGAGAAAACACTTCATTGTAATCAATTCCCTCCTTCTAAGCGTAGCCTTCAACCACCAATCTTGCTTTGTAGCGAACACCAGATTTGTCAGGATATCGTTCCTTCTTTGAATATACCCACTTGCACCCAATTGCCTTCTTTCCCTTTGACAGATTGGCAAGTTGCCAAGTCTGATTCTTATAAAGGGATTGCATTTCTTCTTCCATGGCTGTCCTTCATTTTCCTTTCTCTGAACTTTGGATAGCTTCAAGATAAGTGGTAAGAACTTCATCTATTACAATTGCAGATGCATTAGCCACCATATTAACATACCGAGCAGGTACTTTGATATTCCTCTTTGGTTTATTCAATACAATTGATTCAAGTTGCTGTGAAGGATCTCCAACTGGAACATTTTCTTCAGTTGGTTCTTCTTCTACCATAGGAGTCCTTTCATCTGCTCCTATATCCACTGCTGGTTTGATAATGCTTCTTTCAAACTCCACCTGCTTAGGAGTGCTCTCTACCTATTGCGGAGTACCATCATTCTGCTGTACATCTGCCTTTGTTAACATGGTAGATTTATCAAAGTTGACATCCCTGCTGAACACTATCTTCTTCGTCTCGGGACACCAAAGGCGATAACCTTTAATGCCTGTCGTGATCCCCATAAAGAGCGTCTTCTTCGCCCTTGGATCCAACTTTGATTTCTTAACATGAGAATATGCAGTAGAACCAAACACATGTAAGAAATCATAATCTGTAGCAGGTTTTTCCGACCATTTCTCTAATGGCGTTTTGCCGCCTATAGCAATTGATGATAAGCGATTAACGAGATGATTTGCATATGCTAAAGCCTCAACCCAAAATTGTCTGCCCAACCCAGCATTGGACAACATACACCGAACTTTCTCTACTAATGTCTGGTTTATACGCTCTGCTACCCCGTTCTACTATGGTGTATCTCTGACTATGAAGTGCCGAACGATACCTTCATTTGCACAGACCTCCATAAACGGATTACTAGTGTATTCACCTCCGTTGTCTGTTTGAAGGCGTTTGATTTTTCTTGTTTGAGTTTCCACCATCTTTTTCCACTTGATGAAAATTCCCAATACTTCACTTTTCGCCTTCATAGTATACACTCATACTTTTTGAGAGAAGTCATCGACAAAGGTAACAAAATAATTTTTGCCTCCCAGAGAAGTTGTTTTGGACCCCACACATCAGAGTGCACATAATCTAAAATACCCTTGGTATCGTGAATTGCAGTGCCAAATTTTACCCTTGTCTGCTTCCCTTTGACACAATGCTCGCAAAAATCTAACTTGCAAACACTAGCTCCTTTCAATAGTTCTTGATTCATCAGAAGATTCAAGGATTTTTCTCCGACATACCCTAAGCGCATATGCCATAATCTGGTTATTTTTAATTCTTGATCATCACTGGAAGCCACTGCCGCTACTCCAACAACTGCATTACCTTGATAGTAATACAAATTATTATTTTTTTGGATTCTTTTCACCAGCACCAATGCACCTGAAATGATTTTCATCACTCCATTATATGCCGACACCTTGTAGCCCATTGATTCTAGTACTTCCACAGAAATGAGGTTCTTTTTCAATTCTGGCATATATCGGACACCAGTTAGAATCCTAATTGATTCATTCTGATTCCTCAACAGAATTGAACCAACCCCATTTGTTGCTCATGTGGTCTCATCTGCCGTGTAGACGACTCCACCTTCTTATTCCTTGAAATCAAAGAACCATTCCCTATTGGACGTCATATGATGACTACAACCTGAGTCCAATTGCCATGTACTAGAATGACCAGTAGGCATGACAGCTAATGAAAAATCTGAGTCTTAATCAATGCACTCAGTTACATTTGAATCCGCAATAGTTATTTCCTTGTCAGGTCTACCTTTCAGTTTTGGGCAGTCCTTCTTCCAGTGCCCTTTCTCTCTGTAAAAGGCACACTTATCTTTGTTTAGTCTGGCTCTCAACTTGGATCTACCTCTCGTCCCATTTCTCTGATTTTGTGAGCGTCCTCTAGTTACCAGAGCTTCTGCTGCTCCATCTCTGCTACTTTGCTTGTTTTTTCTTCTAAGCTCGTAGCTGTACAAAGCAGAGCTAACTTCACTGAGTGAAACTTCAGCTTTTCCATGGAATAGAGTTGTTTCAAGATGCTCAAACTCCTTAGGAAGAGATCCCAACAACATGAGAACCAAATCTTCATCTTCAAATGTCACATCTAAATTTATCAGATCAGTGATTAACTGCTTGAAATTAGTGATGTGATCATTTAGAGTTGTGTCGGGAACATAAGTGAAGCGAAATAAATGTTTTTTCATATTGAGTCTGTTCTGACAATTTTTCTTCAAGAACTTCTCCTCCAATCCAATTCACAATTTATTTGCAGAAGTTTTTTTTTAGAACATATATTTCTGTTCCCTTGAAAGACACGATCGAATTGTACCACACGCTAAACGATTTAGCGTCCTCCATTCCTTCTCTTCAATCTCTTCTGGTTTCTCTTCTTCGATGACAATGTCTAAACCTTGATTAAAGAGCGCATCTAGAATCCTATATTGCCACATACCAAAATGACCGGTACCATCAAATGTCTCTACATTTAATTTTACATTCATCATAACATTTCTTACCATAATAGACGATGACGAGCTTGTTGATACTTGCATTGTAGATGAAGATCTACTTTCGGCCATCTCTACAAATTATATTTAGTAGCTCCTAAATGTAGAGTAACAATAGTCCAAGAAATCTTTTCTAATGTGGAAGATCGGACTATGCTGCAACCACAGAGCATACTAAGAAACCTCGAGCTCTGATACCAATTGTTGCGGAAGCTCTACCAAATTAAGATATAACGAGTAAATTATTGTACCTAAAATTGCAAAATGGTAATTCCCAGGAAATATTTGGTGAGGCACACTGGCCTGTTTAAGTACTAATTTTCTAGACAGAATCACCTATATATGCAATTAATTGCACAATAACTCACTACAAATATACCTACAAATATAGCTACTAAATAGACAATAAAATAGAACACCAGAATTTAACGAGATTCAGCTAATTTGCCTACGTCCTCGAACACTATCGATAACTTAATATTTCACTAGAAGAAATATTACAAAGAGAGAGAAGGAAACAAGTTATAATGCTCTTGCTTGGTGTACTTCAATTGAGAAGAGAGGTTGTTAATTTATAGCTAACAACAACTTCTCCTTAAGGCTAATCAACCGATGTGGGATTTGGGATTTGTGCACAATTGTCAACAATTGTAGCTTTGCACAATTGTCAACAATTGTAACTTTATACAATCAACAATTGTGGCTATTGAGCCAATAAGTCAATACTGTGAAGCAGAGATTGTCCATTGTGATCTAAAACCGAGTAATATTTTTCTTGACAATGATCTTGTTGCCCATGTGGGTGATTTTGGATTGGTAAGGCTTCTCCTGAAACCCTTCAACAGATCTTCCGAGCAAGAAGGCAGCAGTACTATTGCTATAAAAGGAACAATCGGTTGCGCAGCCCCAGGCAACACAAATTTTTATGTTCAAGATTTTACTTAGTTGTGCGCAGACTAACGAAACTCTCAAATTATAGGTTTTGTTTTAATTATTATAAGTAGGAGGTTCAAACCCGTAACATCTCACTTATATTTTATCCCTTGTTTTGCCCAACCCACCCCTTCCCCAAAATTATATGTTTAACCTACTCCAATCTAAACAGAATATCATACCTCTATAAGGATGTACAATAAATTTACATAGAATTACAAAACATTTAAAAAATATTATACTATTCAGGAATGGTTGACAGCAATAATTTTATTAAAAAATGTTACACTGCCCCGCATCCTAAACAATTGATCCAGTTATCTCCCTTAGATAATTTTCCCTATTTTTTTTTAAAGTTTTTCTTGTACAACTAACATTATATATCTAAAAACAAAAATTCAGAATACGGAATGGGGCTTGCGGCATCAACTCTTGGGGATGTCTACAGCTATAGGATTATTTTACTGGAGATGATCACTAGGAGGAGGCCAACGGATGATATATTTATTGTGACAGCCCCACTTTCCCCTAAGGCGAACCAAAGGAGCTAGCGGACTGTCTGCCCAACTCTCGCCAGGACTATGGATCAGTTCACGTCGATCTAATACGCTCTGGAACATACCCACGCGTGTAAACAAGTCAAAATCACAAAATAAAAAAAACGAAAAAACGAAAATCGAAGCCGATGATGAACAGTACCGGCCACGTCAGAATCTAGATACTAGGCCGAGAGTAGCCAAAATTTTTCCTCCTCCGTTTGAAATGCGTATCGCTCCGAAATCCAACCAAACATATATAAACATTAAAATTCAACATTTACAAGCCAAAACGGCATACCAAAATATCCAAAAGTTCATACATGTGCAACTAGCCACTTACAAGCCAACCATTGGTTGAAACCAAACACTTAGGGTTTTCACCCTCAAGGAGCTATTCAAAATATACATTTACATGAGCTCAACTTGCTAGTACAACCTTTCCAAAAGTGATCATTTTCCTGTAAGGAAAACAAATGGAACGGAGTGAGCTAAAACTCAGTGAGTTACTACCACAATAGCAACTAAGATCACATAAGCATAACCTTTCAGTTCAAGTATGCAAATAAGAAGTAAATCAAATCAGTGAAAGGATACGGACGGCTCTCAAGAGCCCATTTCCACGCTTACATTCTTGATCCAATCTCATTGACTCTCCGTCAACGTTTATGAGTACCAACCGTAGACCTCACTTCACTCCATTCCTTCCACCAAACATACCCCAACCGGGCCCGCACTCCAATCAGTAACTTTTGGTAATACTCGAGTATACCGGAATCAAAAGTCTCATTACTACAAGATTCCCCAGTACAGTCCCCGTGGCATGACAATTTTCATGACCAAACCCTCGCCGGCTCGATCCAATGGACTACCAAACGGGGTTGAGCTCAGTGATACAGTAAAGCCGTTGGACATTCGTCCAAACGACACCAAATCATTTTTCCATGAATGGAATTCAGTATCTCATATAACAAGTGCAGTATTTCATTAAAACAGTAAGCAGTCATGAATGAAATCACAAGGGGGTGAGGGCGGTCAAGTACACCCTCACCTCAATCACTTCCAATAGCCAAATAAGCCCTCAAGGCATCAGTTTCACATATAACAAAGCCACATTGTAACATTTAAGTGAGTAGTATACTCACCAATCAATTAAGTGCTATTTCATGCACTTCCGTCAGGAGAATGTCGTGAACCACCGTCACGCCCTAGAACACGTAAGCAAGTACAATGAGACTCGATAACGAGTCATATAGCAATACCAATCATAATCCCCAATAGGGTTTATATGCATAAATAAGCATGATAGCAAACCAGAAATTAGAAATAGCATTAGTCTTGGCCCCGAATAGAAAAACTGTTTTGCCCTTATTTTGCGGTAATGGCGTCAATTTCCCTACGACTATCGGATGGGGGTGTAAGACCCACCGTTTCGAAGCCAAGAAACAGGGCTACAACAATGTAGAAGGCCACTCAATCCAGTTCCTAACACAACTAGGTCAAATATGCAAAATACTAAACCAGAATTACCAAAACAGGTTTGCAAAACACACAAAACTGTAATCGGTATAACACAGTCTATACCAGTCCAAATGCCAAAATTCCAAAGGCATATGTTAGCTAAGACATCCAGCTACATTTCATCAGAAGACACCAACTTCAAAATCCAAACCAATTCCAGTCAAAATAGCCAAATACCAACGCAGTTTTCGCATTCTGACCAAAGCAGAACATCTACAGTAATTCCGACATAACTCACTCTACACTAATCCAAATGACCTGAAATTTTACAGGCACCTCAAACACATCAATACCTACAACTTTCATGTTTTGAGCAAAGTCCAATTCGGCCTCTAACCCTATGATCTAAAACCGGACAGAATTAGGGGGTTATGAACCCTAACTTTTCTCAATTCACTCCAAATCCAAAATTAATTGCATTTATCAACAATTCACACCTACTAGAGTCATTTTAAACCATTACCATTCATCATACAAGGCCACAACATCCCATTCATATTAAACCAGAAAATTCATCATAAAATGGAAAACTTCACCAAAACTCTTCAAATCAAGAAATAAATCACATATTCCATCACTCAAGCTACTTCTAAGCATAACATAACCATCATTAGGTGTAGTAGAGTGTTCAAGCATCACTTACCAAGAAATCAAGAGAGAGGAAGATGTAGGACACCTTAACTCTTCAAACAAACTTTACTAGAGCACTCACTATCACTAAAAGAAAGGATTTTATGGAGTGAAATCTAGTTTAGGCTTTTGTTTGTGAGAGATTGAACCAAATGGAAGCTTGAAAGTTGAAGAAATTCCTTCCTTCTTGAGCTTGAGAGAGCCGGCCACCAAGGAGAAGAAAATGGTGATTTTTGAGCAATTTTTAGATATTTAATCCTTTGGTCAAAAAAAGTCAAAAATTGAAATAGTAATTCTTAAAGTCCAACCAATGAGAAAGTGACACTTGTCACCTCATTAAATGCATTCCTATCCTTTCTTTCTTCTCTTACATCAATCATTTCACACACTCTACTTATCTCTTAACACCCGATAAATTTTACACAGTATCCGGAATTTAATCTAATTGGCCGAATTTTTCCGAACTTTTCGCACTAGTGGGTCCCACGTCCAATATATATTCTTAATTTTCTAAAAACTCTCCAATATTAGAAAAATTATCTAAAAACTATAATTGCTCATAAAATCCACCAAAAAATAATATTCCTAAGCCAGAAAATGCAGAAAACATGCAATTAAGGGGAAATAAACCCTAGGAAAAAATATTAGGGAAATACGGGTTCTCACATTTATGGATGAGTTAGATCTACATAACTATGTTAATAGGGTTCTGCCTGAACAAGTTTGTGAGATCGTGGACCCCTTGATTCTTTCTCAAGAAGAAGATGGAAACAGAAGAATGACTCCTGGAAGGGAAAATATCAATGGTGGAAGAGAGATGGAGTGTATTATTTCCCTGTTAAAACTCGGCCTCAAATGCTCACAAAGATTGCCAAATGATCGGATGCACATGAATGAAGTGGTCAGCAAATTACATCTCATTAAAGATGTTTTTCGTGGTGTCAGGGTACATCAAGAAATCTTGAAGTTTAATAGCTACAGGTATACATGAGAATTTAATACAGTCACAAATTGTGGTTCAAATTTTCTATTTTAGATAAATGATTTTTCTTTTTTCTTGACCAGTCTTGAAAGCTAACTGAGTTCTTTCTTTATAGGAACTGAATGTTTTGAAAGGCAGTCAATTGGCTCAGTTCTGCTTGAAGATCTTTATCCTTCTGTATTATACTTGAATCTTATGTTTCCATAATATACATTAGACAATAAATCGTACAGGGCATGCTCTTGCTCCTATGATTGATTTACATTAGCATGCCTTTCTTTGAATGTTGATTTTGCTAAGTCACAATGAGAACGAATAAAGGGGTAGAGGGCAGGAGTCAATTGCACCATAAACCCATACGTTCCCTTGCTAGCATGTCCATACATTGCCCGATCAAGTTATGGATGGCCATGGTGGTCATAAAAAAAAAATCATTTAGTATTAAGTTACACGATAATCATATGCATCGTCACCTGCATAATCAGTCGGTACGTACTAACCTTTTTTTTATTATTTTTATTCCTATTTTGTTGGAGGTGTCTCAAATAGGTTATACAATAATAGTAACGGTCTGCCAAACAGGTGGGCACTTGTTAAGATATATTTCAGATATTATATTTTTGAAAATATAAAATTATTTATAAAAAGTAAAAAAATACAAGGGAGGGTAGGTAAGATTAAATAAATAAATATATATATATATATAAATTCAAAGGAGGATAATAATTGTTAGTATATGTGTGTGTGTGTGTGTATGATTGTTAGGTGTGTTATTGAGTGCCCCAAGGCATCCATTAGAAAAAGCCCTAATAATAATTATCACATTTTGCCCATTGTATCCTATTTCATCTATTAATCCGATACTTAATACCCATATCTCATCACTACATCTCATTTCTAGATTTAAATGGCTAAACGGATGAAGACAATAGATTAAAATGTCTCTGGAATAGGCCTGTTAATCAGGCCTAATGAGTCAAGCTTTCATAAACTCAAGCTCAACTCATTTAATTTAGAACATTTTCAGGTTTCGGATTCATAAATGAGAAGCTCATACTTAACTCACATAATATTCGGGTTGTGAGCCTTAATCGGGTTTAGCCCAAACTCACTTATTACTCCTTAATTTTCTTAATATAATTACTATAACAATTACGTTATAAAACTAATTTAACATTTACAAGATTATAATATTAAAACTAAACATGAACAAATAATAGTTCTTAAAAAGTATATAAACCAAAAACTTTCAACAATATTTATATTTAATTCGTTCAAAATGCATGAAAAATAGTAATAAAACATGCGATCATAAACCAATACATCTTTCAAAGTTGAAACTTTTTTTATAATCTTGTGATTTGAATCCAAACATGCTTAATGATTTGTGTTTGTAGACCACAAAGAAATCAACCAATATTATGCCAATACAAAAATTTATTCAACCAATAAGAAAAATTAGAGATTCAGTTATGCATTACTAATATTGACTCTCAAAAAAGCTTATGGAAGAGTCTTTAGATGTATTTTTATATTTTGTAATTTATATATATTTAGTATTGATTAATAATATATTTAGATACATAATTATATATAATATCAAGATTAAATATTATAAATATATATATATATATAACTAAAGGGTCGGACCTATATCGGGTTTGAGCGTAATAAACCCCAATTTCGACTCATATTTAATTCGGATTTAATTTTTAGGGTCAAATTCAGACTGGTTTACTAAAAGGTCGGGTTCATCGGGTTTTTTTATTGGACTGAATGAGCCGATCTCGGGTTGGCCCAACTCCATTAACAGTTCTATTGGAGTAGATACCGTATTAAATCTGGAGCCTTTTAACCGGTGAGATAAAGGCAGAAATTAGACAAATGGGAAAGACGAGGCACCTAAGCTAAGCTAAATGATCAAATGGAATTGGGGAAAAAAGTCAAGTGAACAAGATAAGAAATTTTTTAAAAAGGTTCGCCCGGTATTAGTATAGTCTGCCCAATTTAAAAAGTCTGCTAACTTGGCCCTTGGCAAAGAGCCCAAGGGGGTTCATAATCACTGGCGTGGAAAATTTCAGTTTCAACGGCGGTCATTTTGTGGATCTGGAATTATGATTCATTAATCCAGTCGCTGCATGGCCCATCGGTATTCGTTCGGATGCGGATAACTTCAGACTCCATCTTCCGTTAAATTTGATTTTAGCTGTGGGCCAAGCTGAGAACACAATTGATCATCTCTGATACTCCGTCATAGAGTATCAAACGGCAGAATGACCATGGAGTTTGCGCCCTTTCAAAGACAAGTTTCTTTGACTTGCTAAGAAAACTAAATTGAGACTAAATTTGATCAACGTAGATTTTGTAAGTGACGTAAAATTTAAAAATCAGGAATAAAAAAATTTATTTGATAAAATATGAAAAAGTTTTCGATCAAATTTCCCTTTTGTTAAATCATAAGAATCCAACATTTTATAGATATATAATTGCTTTGGATCAATAATATATCAATGAAAAATTTACTAGAGATAGCTCTTGCTTTGATAAGAACTTGTCGGTTAACGAAGCTAAGGTGAAATTTAATTAGTCAAATGAATGATCCAAAATGCAAAACATTGGGAATTTATCTTCTAATTGTTTCTGATCTGCTTTGCAAGTAATTTTCGTGGTTTGAAAAACTATCAGTACCAGCAATTGGATCATGGTCGATGTGCTTAAATCTGACCATTTCTTTATTAAGCTTTGATAACGGAGTTTAGCTAATTTTACCCAGAAAAAGTCTTGTTCCAGTTGTTTGGGCTATATAAAGCAGAACAACAAGAATCTTTAACGGCTCAAACGTGTTCCCAATCCACAGAAACTTTTATCATTCAATCATCAGTTTGTAGCCCATCCCAACAAAGACCATGTGGGGACTTCGCTCATCGACATTAGCAAACATTTTTCTCCTACTCTCAGTTGCCATGAACTTTTCAGTAAGCCATGTTTCAACTGCTAAACAATTTCATAATGAGACTGATCGTCTTGCGCTGCTGGAGTTCAAGCATCAGATGCAGGATGACCCGTTTGGAGTGCTGAAATCCTGGAACCACTCACAACACCATTGCCAGTGGGAAGGAGTCACGTGTAGTACTCGACATCAAAGGGTCATAGCCTTGAGTGCTTATTAAATCCTGCCCGATAAGGAATCCGGTAGAGGGACTGGATAACTAGTTGAACTGGTGAGTATTAATTTAATATTTATACATATAAAATAGTAATTTTAATATACATAAAATAAAATACTTTTAGATACTAATGATTATACTTAGAAATATATAGTATAAATATATAGATATTAATAGAAGATTTAATTTCATTTTATCATACTTTTAAATAAATAAATAATATAGTCAAGTATAAAACAAAATTTATATGGCTTTTTTTTAATAATATAGCATTATTTTTTTGTTATTATTTAAAAACAAAGTAATTTTCTAACTAATCAAATATTGTCAGTTAAAAGGATTAATTGTGTAATAAAAAATAAACAAGTTTATTAAAAAAATTTTAGAACAAGTGGTAAAGTCTATATATATTTAAATGAAGATCCAGTATACAAATCTTATCAAAAGCATATATACATTTTGTTTCAAAAACAAAGACCCATAATTTTTTTAAAAAAAAGTTAACCGGGTCAATTGAAAAATTGGGCGAGTTTCCGGTTGAACTATTGGGTCAATTGGATTTGACCAGGTCAATTTCTTGTCCGATCAAACTAGAGACCTCGCCGGTCTAATGGTCGGGTCACCGGGCCTACCGATTCAACTGTTGAGTCGGTTCGGGTTTATTAACAATGGCCTTGACTCTGAGGAATAAGCAGTTGCCAGATCTAGTCATGATCAGGGCAGAGGGGAGGAGAGGAGAGGGCAGAGGAGATAGAGGGGAAGGAGGGGATAGGAAGGAAATAGAGAGAGGAAAAAAATAAAGTTTCTGCCTCTGTCGGCGATTGGCTTGCAGTCAATGGGGAGGGAGGGAGAGGAAGATTGCAGTGGGGTGGGGGGAGAAGAAGGGAAAGGAAAGAAAGGGGATATATATATATATATATATATATATATATATATATATATATATATATATATATATATATATATAAAAGGAGAGGTAGGATGGAGAGAGAGAAAAAAAAAAAGTTTCTACCGCCGGTAGCTGGCAATGACGGGCGGTCAGTGAGGTGGGAAGGAGAAGAAGATTGCGGTGGCGTGGGGGAGAAGAAGCAGAAAGGAAAGAAAGGAGAAAACAGGGAAAAAAGAGGAAAGTTTTTCTTTTCTTAAAGAAATTTTTACACACTTCAAAAAGTTTTTCTACAAATTTTACAGCAAATTGCAGTAAAGTTTTAGGCAAACTTCCAAAAAACTCACTTACCAAATGGGGCTTATGTTTGGCTTCATTGGGGTTATTACCATTATTATTATCATCATCATCATCATCATCATCATCGGTGAAAAGGGTCATAAACTTGTTTAAAAATACATCAAAATTCTGAAAAAAAAAAAAAAAAAACCTGTCTAGCAGTGATACATTACTTGGAAAAATTTCTGCTTTGAGTTTACTGCAGAATGGGGAATTGTTTGCTAAACGAGAATGAGCTTATGATTTAGTGGAAAATTAATGCATGTTTCAAGATTTAAAACAGTAGGATTTTGACTACAAACTGACCCTCTCTTTATTGATGAACAACAAAAATAGAAAATGAAAAGAACTTCGTAATTAATTTTACTTGGCTTCATGGACTTTATTGTTCAATTAAAAGGAAGAAATAAGAAAAAATGTACAACAAGAAAACATAAATAGATAAGTAAACGCACAGGTAGAAGAAATAGCAGCGTGACCAAGTGATCAGGACTTGGTCTCGTTGCTAAGCCAAGGCCCCTGGTCACCGAGAAGTTCGAAATGTAATTTGGAAAATTAGGCCTTTATGTTTGCTCAATCATTTTATTTTCACTTATTTCTCAGCAAACTGGAAGGATTACATGCAAAATCTCCACCATCTCAAGGTGGATTTCTTGAAAAAAAAAAAAAGGCAAACTCCTTGAGCAGACTCGACAGAAACGCTATACTTCTGTGATCTGATTTCCAAATTCATGTTTGTCATCATTCGTAAAACCATTTTTTTCTAATTGGTGTATAGGTCATTTTCCAAATTGATAGACGGTGATACGTAAAGGACCAATAACCATTTTCCTAGCTGCGGACCACCAAATTGTCTCTCATGTTTTGGCAAAAAAAATCTTTCTTGTCTATCACACATTCTAAAATGAAGCAAATTAGCTTCGGGGTGACAATCTGATATAGATTTTAGGGATAACATTGGAACATTACTTTAATTTTTTTTTTTTAAATCTAGCAGACACCTAATATGCGCATGACATTAAGTCAACATAAAAAGAGAAAAAACTAAAAATTATAACATAAAAAACAAACCCTTCTTTTTTTAAAAAATTAAAATTTTTTGAGAAAATGCATTAAAACAACATAAAAAGGGAAAATTTGGGAACAGATTAAACAGAACTCACCTAAGCCAACCGACAGATTTTAGCATATCAAGATTCTTGTGATTTCTATTAATTGGGAACATTACTTTAAATTTTTTTTTTCTAAATCTAGCAGACACCTGATATGCACATATGACATTAAGTCAACATAAAAAAAGAAAAAACTAAAAATTATAACATAAAAAAGCAAACCCTTCTTTTTAAAAAAATTAAAATTTTTTTAAGAAAACGGCATTAAAACAACATAAAAAAGGGAAAAATTGGGAATAGATTAAACAGAACTCACCCAAGCCAAATGACAGATTCTTGTGATTTGTGTTAATTGGGAAGATCCACACAAATGAAGGCATCCTGTTAATCATCATCTCTGGTAGATGATCACATTAATCCCAGCTTTCACGGTTTGAAAAGTATTAGTCATGGTCGATATGCGTAAATTGTAAAGCTTGTGGAAGCTTACTTGAACATTTCAGTATTAAGTTCTGACAACGAGGTTTAGCTCCAAGAATATACCCCCATTAGTTCCAATTGTGTGGGCTATATACAAGATTCTATAACAACCCAAAACATTGTTCCCATTCGGAAGAAACTTTTATCATTCAATCATCAATTTGTTGCAAATTATTCCATCTTCGCATCCAACAGCTCATGGAAGTTCCCAATACCATGTGGGGATTTCGCTCATCATCAACATTAGCGAACATATTTCTCCTTCTCTTAGTTGCCATGATCTTTTCAGTAAGCCATATTTCAGCTTCTAAACAATTTCAAAATGAAACTGATCGTCTTGCTCTGCTTGAATTCAAGAAGCAGATATACAATGACCCGCTTGGAGTGCTGAACTCATGGAACCATTCACAGCACCATTGCCAGTGGGAAGGAATCACATGTGGTACTCGACATCAGAGGGTTATAGCCTTGACTCTGAGGCATAAGCACTTTTCCGGTATTATATCTCCTCTTGTCGGAAATCTAAGCTTCATGAGGTTCATCCATCTTGAGGAGAATCAATTCCACGGTGAGATTCCCCAAGAATTCGGTCGCCTCTTCAGGCTGAGAGTCCTGAACCTACCAATCTTTAATAGTTCAGCCGTTGTTGTGATTTCAGTAGCTGGCAATTCCTTTCATGGCAATCTCCCAACCAACATAGGTCTTACCCTACCAGTTTCCCAACCTTGGGGGAAACAAATTCTATGGCAACTTTCCAACTTCAATCACCAATGCTTCTGGGCTTGAAATAAGTTTAGGAATAAGTTTAAAGGCCAAATCCCAACTAATTTAGAAGATCTGACGAATCTTCAATTACTAAATCTTGGTAGCAATCTCTTCGGCAGTCAATCTACAGAAGACTTGGATTTTATTGCATCATTGACCAACTGCAGCAATCTAAGCGTTCTTTCCTTGAGTGTGAATAAATTTGGAGGCAATATGCCTAAAGCCATGGCCAATCTCTCAAATCAACTCACTGAATTTTACGTGGGAGGAAACTATCTATCAGGAACTATTCCAGAATGATTTGGAAACTTTGTCAACCTATATAAACTTGGCCTTGAATTTAACTCTTTTTCAGGGATTATTGCAAGAGATTTTGGCAAGTTACCAAATTTGCAAGGATTGCGTCTAGACCGACAGATAGTCTCTACCTTATGCAACAACACCAGTCTATACTATCTGGACTTATCATTTAACCAGTTTGAAGGGGGGCAATATACTTGACAATGTTCTTATGAACTGTCAAAATTTGCAATATCTGGATATATCTCAAAACAACTTCACTGGAATTATATCACCACATTTTCTGGAGACTCATTCATCATTGATTTACGTGGGATTAAGTGAAAATTCTTTTACTGGTTCTCTGCCTCCTGAAGTTGGAAAGCTTATACATTTGGCTGATTTCAATGTTTCCCACAACCAACTTGTTGGAGATATACCCATGTCACTTGCTGATTGTTCAAATCTGGAGAATCTTTTTATGCAGGCCAATTTTTTCCAAGGAACAATTCCACCAAATTTGGCTTCTTTGAAGAGCATCCAGCAATTAGACCTTTCAAGTAATAACTTGACTGTTCCAATACCCAGTGATCAAGGGGAAAAACACTGATTGGCAATGCGAGTTTTCAGCAATGCGAACACTGGAGTTTTCAGCAATGCGAGTCAAATATCACTGATTGGCAACAACAAACTCTGTGGAGGCATTCCAGAATTGGAGTTCCCACCTTGCCCAGTGATCAAGGGGAAAAACAGAGGAAAGCTGAAGGTTATTATATTGCTGTCCATTGTTTTACCGGCAACGCTTCTGGTTCTCGGTGCATTGTTGTTATACTTCTTGGTATATCAAAAAAGAGAAAGAAGAATGGTGGCCGGATTCTCTAGCATGCCCCCAAGAATCGATGAGCTCTTATGGCTTTCTTACCATGAACTTCTTCGTGCAACTTCAGGATTTTCTCCAGAAAACTTAATTGGTTCAGGAAATTTTGGAGCTGTCTACAAAGGAAGGCTAGAAAAACATGGCAACAAGCTTGTAGCAGTTAAAGTTCTTGATCTTCAAAAGAATGGGGCTTCCAAAAGATTTAAGGCCGAGTGCAAAGCATTGAGAAATATTCACCATAGAAACCTCCTTTCTATCGTGAGTTATTGCTCCACTATTGACTCCAAGGGTGATGAATTCAAAGCTCAAGTCTATGAGTTTTTGGAAAATGGAAATCTGGACTTGTGGCTGCATCCTGCAGAGACAACTGATCAGGCAACATGGACTTGTGGCTGCATCCTGCAGAGACAACTGATCAGGCAACAAGCTCAAGAAGTCTTAATCTTCTTCAGAAGCTAAATATTGCAATTGATGTAGCTTCAGCATTGCATTATCTTCACGACCACTGCGAAGCAGAGATTGTTCATTGTGATCTAAAACCAAGTAACATTTGTAAGTCCCAAAGACAACCAAGAGGGGGGGATGAATTGGGTTGATTAAAATCTTAACCAAATTTATGCACTTTTTCTTTAATAAAAATTTACCTTCTTTTCTAGTAATGATCAACCAATTAGATTAGAAGACAATAGCAATATTGATCAGAAAAACAAGTATAGATAAGCAATGAGAATTTTATTAAACAAAAAGTAAAATAGGAAATCAAACCAATTGTCTACCAAGCTTTCCTCAAACCTGAAGACCAATCACAAGGTTGAGCAACTTCTCTTTGATGAAAGATGATCAACTAGATGTACAATGGAGGGAGTACTTCCTCCTTGCCCTAAGCCTCACTTAGTCAAGTTAAGAAGTTTTACAAACACTCAGATAACCCTCAACAAAGCTACACTAAAGAAACTTTCAACCACAAGAGAAAAGCTAACCAGAAATTCACACCACTTAGACAACAAATCTCACTTTGGAGACTATTTTCTAGCTAAAATATCTCTTGAGATCTTGTAAACAAAGTGTGCAAAAGTCCCTACTTCATTCAGACCAGTTTGATTTTAAAGGGAACCAGAAATGAGCTTCATCAATGCTTCCAACGGATAGAAGGCAGCTGAAGAGTCAACTAGCCGTTGGGGCTGTCAGACGTCCGACGATCAAATCATCGTCCGAACCAATCGTCCGATGACAGCCAAGTTGAAGTTCGGACGTCCGATGCGTTTGTTTCGTCCGACAGCACAGCGTCCGATCGTAGGCAGAGAGTTGGCAAGTCATCTTGGAATTTTTCGGACGTCCGATGCGGTTGATGTGCGTCCGATGGCAAGCGTCCGATCCTTCCGGACGTCCGATGCTTCCTTACGAGCGTCCGACAGAGCTTCCTTCTTGATGTTCTTTATCCTTTCGGACGTCCGACAGATTCCTTTCGGCCGTCCGACATGATTGTCCTGTTTTTGCTTCTTCTTTTGGTTGTTTTGCATTTCATGACATATTCGTACCTGATTCTTTGATAGGCAAAAACACTTATATTTGGAGAAGGTTAGATAAACATTTCAAAGTACCGAGAATAACAAAATTGACATACTTAAAAGACAGTATCTTTGATCGGAACAAAACAATGACTAAATTTGTTTATATTATTCCAATCTTGTTTGCCACATCCAAAGCATCGTAGTGAACAAATGTTTTCTTTGTTCCATCAGACCTGATCAAAGTGTTCACTTTCTTGGTCTGTATAAATATTTCAAAGAACTTTTGTGATCATCAAAACCAAGAATAACAACATTCTTCTTGACAATGATCTTGTTGCCCATGTGGATGATTTTGGATTGGCAAGGCTTCTCCCGAAACCCGTCAACACTTCTTCCGAGCAAAGAACCAGCAGTACCATTGCCATAAAAGGCTCAATCGGTTACGCAGCTCCAGGTAATTACAACTTTTTATGGTCAAGATGTCACTTAATTGTGCACAGAAATATAGAACTTTTGGGACATTTAATTCTTTTTAATTTTTTTATTATAATTACTATGAGATCTCTAATCAATGATGCATAGTAGCTAATTTTAGTTAAGTCACTTTGTTAAAAAAGAAGGTCCATTATGCCCCAATCTAACATTTGATTAATTTTAATCACTTAGTTTTTTTTTATAGTTTTTCTTTTACTACCCAATAATAACATGTCTAGAAACAAAATCTCAGAGTATGGAATGGGTCTTGTGGCATCAACTCAAGGGGATGTCTACAGCTACTGCATTCTTTTGCTAGAGATGATTACAGGGAGGAGGCCAACAGATGATATGTTCGTGGATGATCTTGATCTACATAACTATGTTAATGGGGCTTTGCATGAATGAGTTTTTGAGATCGTGGACCTGTTACTTTTTCTTGAAGGAGATGAAAACAGAAATATGACTCCTGGAGGGGAAACTATTAATGGTGGAAGAGAGATGGAGTGCATTATTTCCCTATTCAAAATTGGACTCAAGTGCTCTGCAAGATTACCAAATGATAGGATGCGTATGAATGAAGTTGTCAGAAAATTACATCTCATTAAGGATGCTTTCGTTGGTGTCAGGGTGCATTAAGAAAATCTTGAAGCTTAATATCTACAGGTATACACAAGAATTTAACACAGGCCGCAAGTTGAAGTCCATTTTTTCTATATTACGTAAAGAATTTTATTCTTGACATAAGATTGCAAGCCAACTCGTTCTACCAGTCAAAATCTATTCCAGTCCAAAAAAAGAAAAAATAATAAGGAAAGAACAATAGTACTAGAATGGACGAGGATGGCTTCTCATACTAATGCATGAATTCTTGATTTGCAGCTGCTTATTGGCCTGAATCTCCAAGCTGAAGCTGTTAATTGGGTGAGCTAATGAAGAAGACACCTTTGGTTTTTTATTTGAAAAAAAAAATAAATGGATGATTCAAACATATTCCTATAGTCTTTCTTTATAAGAATTAGATGTTCTTGGAGGCAATCAATTCTGCTTGAACATCTTAATGCTTCCATATTGTGCTTGCATAAAATACAGTACATTATACTTACAATGCATAGTCTTGCTCCCATGATTGATTTGATTTACATAAGCACCCCATTTCTTTGAATTTTGATTTTACTACTACATGAAATTTCAGTTACAATGAGAACAACATAAGGGGATCAATTGTACAAGAAATTCATATGTCCATCTATTGCTCAATTAAGTCATCTTGCCTCTTAAAGCTATGAATCTAGCCATGGTGGGGCTCATACTTTTATGCCATATCTTGATGATTTTGAATGTAAAATGTTAGTAGGGCCTAGTACGTAACCTTGGCAATATCAGGTTGAAAGAAAAGTTAAAGAAGGAAGTGAAGAGGGACGAGAAATTAAAAAAAAAAAGAGAAAAGATAAAATGTTAAATAATTGGAGGAACTGCCAAGAAAAAAAATCAGAAGGGAAAATGGCTTTTGACTGAACAATTTATCTATGTGCAAGTCGCGTCCTCTGGCTCTGGGAGCCCAACTTAGCATCAAAATTCGTGAGAAGCACAAATTGGGTAAGGTATCGATTGGTAACATTCCACCATCGTAGTAATATTAGACTCTCCATTAGCAGGGAAAAAGGAAAGCAAAAAAGTGTATGGGGGCAAAGTGTAATATGATAGGGTGTTAATTGTTGGTTATTTTATTATTAATTTTCCCTTCGTCCTTGCCAAATATTGTTTTAATTGTTAATATCTACTTATATTTGGTTATGTATGGTATCTGAAATTAATTTCAGGGAATGGAGCAGAAAATTATAAAAAATGAGGGACTTTCTGGAGATAATTGAGACTTCAAACAATTGGGCCCACATGGTGCTACAAACGGATTGCATTTCCTTTGCTGATTAGGAGATTGGAGTCCTACTAGTACTAGGAAACAAAAAGGAAGGAATCCCTCGAGTAGTGCTAGAAGCTTTTTGTTGTTGCTTGCTCCTTATCCGGCGGGGATCACGTGGTGGAGAATTAGTAGTCAATTGTTTAGAATAGGAATAGTTTCCCTCTTTTGGGCTTTGTCCCATTCCTGCATTTTCTTCGTTCTACGTTTCTCTTCCGTTTCCTTCTATGAAGACCACTGGAACAAAGCTTTGTTACGATGGTGATTGATTATTAGCGAAAACGATGATGCCTTTGAATTCAATTGAATTGTGTGGAGATTTACTTATGCAGCGTGGTTAAGCTTCTCATCTAGTCAAAGGCCAACTTGAAGGCGCGGTTCCAAATATCTGTGAGATCGAATTAATTTTATTTATTTCTTTTATTCATTGGTATTTGTACGTTTCCTAATTTAATTGCTTATGCTTGTTATGTTATTTGAATGCCAAGGGTCCAATATTCGAATTAGCTTAATGATCTAATACCAAATTAATTGATTGAATCCATAATTGTTCAATTGATTAATACCAGTGGCGACTAGCGTGATTGGTTTCATGTTAGGGAAACGTATGATCTAACTTAAACAAACCCTCATAGCGAGTTTGTTGGTTAGGGTTGGATTTTTCTAATTATTAATGCAATCGAGTAATTAAATCCTACGGTCGTATCTAGGGTTATTTCTTGGTTAGAGAAATAGTTAACGGTCATACCTTAACTCTCGAGAAATTAAGGAAAGACTGGTTGTTCATCGCATGTATGACAACTATAACCAATCTAGTAATGAGTAATTGAATTATTTTTGCATCGATGATCAGTTGAATGGACTATGTCTGAAAAGTTGCACCTTTGGCCAGAGTCGTATTGGTTATTGATTAATTATTATTTATTTCTATTAGTTGTTTCATTAGTTAGTTAATTAGTTATTTTATATTTCCCAAAAATCCCTCATGCGCTAAACTCTAGAAGAAACGAATTATCCCCAGTCCCTGTGGATTCGACCATGTTCACCGCTATATACAAAATTTGTATTTTTCTTGAGTAGGTAATTATTATTGCACAGGTTCGACACCCTGTCAATTTTTGGCGCCGCTGCCGGGGATTGGTGCCTAATTAATTTGTTTCTTTTTTAGTTCATCTTGTTTTTCTTTTCTTTTTTTTCTCTCATATATATATATATATATATATATATATATATATATATATATATATATATAGTTTATGGCTACTAACATTCCGTATTTTGGTGATAGACCAGATTTTATTTCTAGAAGGGGTTATGAGACTCATGCTTTTTCTAATGATCAATTGGCTGTTGCAAATTGTGGAAGTTAGTTTGCCTCAGATCATGCAACCGACATATACCCCGCATTTCAAGATGGTCTAAGTGTTCCAATCGATACTTTTGGAGATTTTTTACTTCAATATCAAATGTGGTATGACCCTTATTCAAACGGGTATGATCAAGGATGGTGGGATGATTTTAATTTTAATTATGTGACCAGACCAATGGATTTTTAACAGCAAGAGCCTCAACAACCATCATCCATGTCAGGTCCGTCTCTAGAAGAAATGATGAAACTGTTAATTGCTAATCAACCAAAGACGGATTCTGAACTACAAAGTATGAGGAATCAACTAGGACAGATGCAAGCAATGCAGAGTCAGGTGAGTCAGATGGTGATAGCAATTAACCGCCTAGAATCCCAAGTCCAAGGAAGACTTTCATCTCAGCCTGAAGTTAATCCAAAGAATGTGAGTGCCATGACCCTCAGAAGTGGAAAAGAAATTAAAGGGCCTACGGTTTTGGAGAATAAGAGTCGAGATCAAATTCAAAAAGAGATGGAAGATGAAAGGCGTGAATTGGTATCTACACTGAGCAAATTGAATTCTTCAAATTATGAAGAATTGCCCTCATAAACCATCGTCGACGTTAAGAAAGATGAGGATGTATTTATCCGGACAAATGACATGGAATTGCAAGAGTTTCAAGAAAATGGATCTAAAGATGCAGCTGAAAAGGAGGTTGAAGTGCAAGAAATGAGACCTCAACATCAACTCGTTCAAGTAAATGAATTCAGTGAACAATCTCTAAATGCGGTGATATATTCTCCATTCCTTAATCAGTATTTTTCTAACTCCTATTATTCAACTCCTATTATTGAGATTGATTTTATTAGACTAGAAAATTTTAAATTTCATGACAGAAATAAGTTAAGAGTGGCGATGGCAAAATATCTTGAACCGATAAATGCATGTGATGGAGAAGTGAGTGGAGAATTCAGATCATTATTGACTTGTTTGGTGCCATTTACTAGTCTATGGAAGACCGTAGCTCGTGCTCAAGAATTACTCTATTTATGAGAGATATTAGGATTATATATAGGATGAAACACTAAAACGAGTCACAAGATTTTAACCTCCATGAACAAAAATGACAATGTCTAGCAAAAAACGTTAAAAAAAGACGCTTTTTGGGAGGCAACTCAAATATTGATTTTACTGTTTTTCGTTGTTCAATTCTTTCATTTTGTCGTTTCTCATTTGGGTAGGAGTCGGTCTTAATATTTTTTCCCACTGTGATCAGGACAATGAATCTTGGTGTGCCTACACTGTGTCAGTGACTCCAAAGATCAGTGGACGTTTACCAATCTTGGCATGCCCACGCCATGTTGGTAAAATCTTGACATCTCACGACATTGGCAGGAAGTGGAATCTTGGCGTGCCCATGCTGTGTCAGTGACTCCAAACGTCAGTGAACGATTTCCTATCTTGGCATGCCCACGCAGTGTTTGACGACCCAAAACTCAAAAAAAAAAATAAATAATAAAAATTCACATTGAGAAAGTTCAAAAAACATTTTTTTTCTTTTTCTTTAAAAATTCGAAGTTTGAAAATTTAAATTCGGGAAAAAAATTGGAAAAAAAAACATTAAAAAAAACCCCAAAACCATTTTATTTTCCTTTTTTCTTTTTCTTTTTTCTTTTTTCTTTTTCTTTCTTTCTTTCTTTCTTTTCTTTCTTTCTTCCTCTTTTCTTTCCCTCTTCTTCCCCTTTTTCCCTGTTTCTTCTTCGGCTGACACCACCTCGCGCGACTCCAGGCCACCACGCGTGCCGCCATCGCGCACCACCCACGCGCATGTCGCTCTCTAGCGAACATCGCCACTTCTCCTCTTCCCTCCGTGAACCTCTCTCTCCCTCTCATGCGACAGCAGCGCGACGTTGCTCTTCTAGTTCGCCATGCGATCCGCCGCGCGCCTCTTTCTCTCCTTCTGCGCACCGCGAGCTTCCAAGCCCCGCAGCCGAGCGCCGCTCCTCCTCTCGCCCGCCACCAGCTTGCCGTCCCCAGGCCGCTGCCCACGCGAATCCATAGCCGCCGCCGGGTACCCTGCCATGCCATCACTACTTCTCCAACCTCTCGACGTCTAGGTGGAGGTAGTGTATTGTCTCAAT